TAGTGTTAGACAATAATTTATCCAATTAAATTTTTAAAAAATGTGTTAATTTAGACTTTAATAATGATTTGATTTATATTATATGCGTTGATATTTTTAAACTATATATATATATATATATTTGATAATAGAGTATTTTTATACTTATATAACTTGTGATTCTATAATTTGAATTAGAAATTCATGAGTTTCAACAACAATATTTCTCACATTAAAGTAAAATAATAGTTAGATTGTACAATTTAAAAGTAAAATTCCTATAAAGAAGAAAAACTTAATATTTTGTTACGAAAGAAAAGTATACTTATGAAGAAGAGTAATTAATCATAGTGATGATGAAGTTTCAAAAGATTAATGATAGTGTTTATTTATTGCACAATTGCACTATAGATAAAACTTTTTGATGTTGTTATCTTGTTAATGAATGTTTTAGATATTCTTGGATGTTGATGGATATTTATATATGATGATATTTTATATTTGTGACTTAATTTTATTCATATTTATGTCTTTTTTTAATAATTTCACTGGTTTATTTTTATTTTTTTATAAAAATTATGATAAATATAAAAAATAGTATTTTTTCTCAAACGGGCTAAAAGCCCGTGGGCCGGCCCTGAACCCTGTGGCTTAAGGGTCGGACCTAACAAATTGGGGTATTTTTGAAACTTCAGCCCTGGAGGGCTGGCCCTTTCAAGCCCATCAGCCCTGAAGGGTCATGTAACATCCTAAGTTTTTATCGGGTTTTAATAGCCTCTTTTGGGTTGATTTTGAGGATAGATTAGTGATTTAATCTTGATCTGGGTGTTTGGGTTGAATTTGAGGTTTGTTGGAGGAATAGGTGAACGTACCCCTCTCAGGGTATGTTCGCCGTGGCGAAGTTTACTTCGCCGCGGCGCACCGGGAGTTTCAGAGGGGAGTGTCTTCTCGGGAAGGTTTGGCCGCGGCGAAGTCTAGGGGACACCGCAGCGAAGTTACTCTGGTGAGCGAGGCTTCCCTTTCGGGAAGGTTTCGCCGCGGCGAAGGTAGGGGTATGCCGCGGCGAATGTTTTCTGGGCGAGCGAGAGTTTCCTCTCGGGAAGCTTTTGCCGCGGCGAAGATTGGGGTTCACTGCGGTGAAGTCAGGTTTTCAGGCAAGTAATCCCTCTCGGGATTAGTTCGCCGCGGCGAAAGGTCGCGAATCTATATAATCGCTAGAGGGTTCAGTTGTGCGAAAATAAGAAAATCTAAAGGAAGAGAGAGGAGCTCTGCTAGGGTTTCGATTTTGAGGCTTGGGAAAGACATTTCTAAGAATCCATTACCTCAAGTAAGTGATTTTAACCTCTAATCTATCTTCTTGATTGGAATTTCTGAGGATTTATGGTGAAACCTTAGGCTTTTCTAGGTTGTGATGAAACTGAGGTTTTTGACCGATTGTTTTGAGTTTAATTGATTGCATTGGGTTAGTTTAAGTATTTAATCGGTGTAGTTTTCCTGGATTTAAAGAATCTTGAGTTTTTGGAGCTAGGGTTTATGGAAATGGATGATTTGGGATTGAGGATGATAATGTAGAGATTGATTTTGAGTTTTGTGAATTGGGTTATGTTAAGGAGGGTTAAATTGGATGTTTAATCGGTTTAGATTTGTTGTTGGAACCTTAATTGCTCAAAGGAGATGTTGGAGGTTGAATTCCTATAGTGGGTCCTTGAGGTTTGAATTCTAATTGATGCTTGGAAGGAGACTTGATGTTTTAATAGACTTTGAGGACTTTGGAGTGTTGTTTTGATAGTTATACCCTTTGAGTTGGGTAGAGTTTTGATGGGAGATAGGAATTTTGTGTCTCCAAGTGTTGTTTTGGCCACATTATTAGTTTGAAAGCTAATATATGATGGTTGTGTGTTTGTGTGCTTGTGTAGACCGGTTGTGAGTCTTGGTGGTGCACGGGGCCACATTGTCGGTTTGTTATTCCTTGCTCAGGTGAGAGGTAACCACTTTCCAATCCTTAGTACTTGCTTCTGTGGTATTGTGAGTAGATTTGTGTTTTGTGCTCCAAGTAGTAATTGTGTTCAAACTATATGTTGTATATAAAAAGGGAAAACCGTCTTGTGGGGTTTTTAATTGATGATGCATGAAATCTTGAAATGGTGAAGGATATGCCACTGAATGAGGTTAATTGTGAAATGATTATTACTCTTTGATTATGATTTGAGCATGATGCATGATTTGGGATTTGGTGAGAGTTTGATAGTTACTACCACGTGGTAAGGCCTCCATTAATGCATGATGGTTGGCTTAGTACGTCCCCCATAGTGAGGGATAGGCCTTTTGGCTCCCTACGTCCCCCAGAGTGAGGGATAGGCCTTTTATGGCTCCTTACGTCCCCCATAGTGAGGGATAGGCCGGCTCCGACTCCTGAAAATCCCCCAAAGTGAGGGATTTGGTTGATGGGATTGCATCATTGCACTTGCATGAATTGTTGTGGCTATCGTTTTATATTATTTGTGAACTGCCCCACTTGACACCTCACGAGCACCTATTTAGTAGTACCTAGTATTGGAAAGGTTGGTTACTGGGACTTTGTCTCACCCCGTGGTTTACAATGTTTTCAGGTGAAGGTTCTGGGCGTGCGCCTTCGGGAAGAGACGCAGAGGCTTGAGCTTGGTTAGCTTTAGGCCTCTAGCATTTGTATATGTATGACTAGTATATATTGCCACATTTAGGACTGCTTTTTGATATATTTGATTATCCGGCCTTGTTGTAAACTGGAGAGAATGTATCTCCTTATTTTGATTGGCCAGAGGCCATTGCTAGTGTTTGATGAACTCTGGATTATATAGTTGAAAACTTTTTAGATGGGCTGACTTTGATGTATGTGTTACCCGGGCCGGAGGCTCGGAGGCCCAATAGATATGAATGGATTATTTTAGTTGCATGCAACGTCTATCGGGTTGACTTGAGTTTGAAAGTCAATTTCTAAAAATATGAAATTTTCCTTCTACTATGGTAGCTCGTTTTAACAGCTTTCCTTTTCTACCATAGTAGTGGGTTTTATGATGATTTATGATATTTTTAAGGTTAAGGGTTTTACAGGTCAGCTCTAATTCCCACCTCTAACCTTCTTCAACTTCTCCCTCCCTCCCTTCTCTCTCTCACCGTCCACCTCTTAGCTGGACTAATCCCTCAAACTCTTAACAGTGGATTCAATGTGACATTCGACAACGTTAGAAGAGCCTTGCTTCCACCGTATGAATTAGCCTTTGCCATCAAATTCTGAAACATCACTTCACCATCATAAATCTAATCCCCACCCCGCAGTTTTCAACAAAAAACCAAAACTTTCAGGAAGATAAAATTTGAGTTATTAAGACAAAAACATTTATAATAATATGATGATAAGTAAGAAGTTTGAGATGTGAAGGATGATCGAACAAACTTTTAAGGTCTGTCGCTGAACTTTCAGAGCTGCTTCTCATTCTCGGTGACTTTGAAGATTCTGCTGATGATTTGTTGTGTCTCGTTCATGTCGAGCTTTCAAACATTGACTTTCTTATGCATGACCTGAGTGCCACCTCGATCTTGGGCGCAATAAGTCTGGAAGATGGCATATGGGGTTGGCTTAGATGGAGACTGAATGGAGGAGGGGGAGAGCAAAGCAGAGGTAAGAGGTGTTGCAAATGAGGAAGACAGTGCTTGGTCAAAATTTAATCATTGCCACGTCAGCTCTATTAACTTGAAGTAACAGTAGCTTTAAGGATCATTAGCGGAAGGACTGTAATAAAAACACTAGCAAACAATAAGGATGGAACAAAAAGAAACAAAACTATAAGGACCTTATTCAAAATTTGGTAAAACTATAAGGACTGACAAATTAATTTTCCCTAAAAAGAAATGAGTATATAATATTTAAAGCATGATTGAATGCGGAGGGCGAGATTAAAGAGCTAAATGAGAGGAAAGGCCTTGCTTGGTTTTTTTTATCATTTATTTTTAATTTATTTAATATTTTAATTTTATATATATTATATAGAATATTATTTTTACTTAATTATTATGTTACCGGACCATTTGGACGGTGACCCGTTATGTGGAATATATCCATGTTTGAGATAAAGATATGTATTTTTATTTTCAAAAATCGGCATTTGAAGACTCTACAAGGACATTAGTTAAAGTTAAGGACCTTAATTTTTCAAAAAAAATTAAAAATTTATATAATCATTAGTTGGAATATTTATGTTCATAAAACTTTCCTCCTTTTATTTTTTTCCAGGAAAAAATATATCAATTCTGGTTATTTTAGTTGTGTAAGCACCCTTTTTCAGCGTTCAACTATCATTTTCAATATTTAGCTGTGACTTCCGCACTCATTATCAATCAACTGTCAACTATTTTTCATTCTAAAATAATCGATGATGAATAATTAAAAACCTATAAAAGAGATAAATATTGAAAAATTTATATAGGAATAATAAAAAAAATTAAATACTATAATATTGAAAAAAATCATTCTTTAATTTCCAACATGGTAAAGTATCTTGCTTTTTATTAATCTGGTATTTTTTTCTCAACATAATGATCCGAATCAACAATTTGATGAAGGAAGATATTTTACATAACCCCAACATAACGAATAAAAGTTGAAACGATATACAATGTACATTGCACACAAAACAAAAACATAATAAGAGAAACGAAAAACTGTACGTGAATATATATTTTAGTCCTTTAACTGCAAACACAAAATTTTATGTTGATCCCTTAATTTTATAAAGTATCTTTTCAATCCTTTAATCCTAAAGTTGTTGATTAAAAGAAAAATACCGACATAAAAATTTTAAATTTTTGTAAAGTATTTTCAAATGATGACACATTAAGTTAATTTCAAAATAAAAATGATTTTAATGAAAAATGATCATTTGAGAGAGTAACATTTTTAGGGTTAGAAGACTAAAAGGATAATTTCAAATTAAGAGATCATATACTAAAATTTTGTATAAAAGTTAAAGGATTAACTGTGAAACTTTATCATTCTTTTATCTTATATGATAGTTGGATTCAACGACGCAAATTCAAGTAGTTCATGATTTTTCTCAACCAAGGCCATGTCTTGTTGGCTCAAAGTCACCCATGCTTCTATTCCTTTTCCATCACTCGTATCCATCAAATAAATAGAATTCTTTATCTTCATAGAAGGAATACTCACCCACTTGGGCTTTCCCCACCCAAAATCTGCTTCATAAAACTCAAAACGACACCAGCTCGTGCACATATAGAAATCTATGCCTCCTTTATATGCCAATTCAACATCCTTCCATCCCTCACTAAGTATCGAGAAAGCGATATTTTTATCTTCAAGTTTATGAGCACGTTCTTTTGAAAATAGTTCAAGAGCTTCCCTTAATTGAACCACCAATGTTTGAACGTCCATGTCCGTATCTTCTATTTCTGCTATGAAGTTACTCAAGCAGTTCCCGACAGAGGTCTCAGGTAAAGGTGGGTTAGTCCTTTTACGAATATTTATTGCTTGGCCTATCTTGGATGGTCTTTTGGTTATTCCTAGGTTTGTTCTTGATGCAATTGTAGCACATTTCCATATTAGTGCCAATACTGACTCCACTCGAGTTGGTTGTTCCACCAGTTTGCTTGATGCTTTGGCCTTCAATTTTGTGATCTCTGAGGATTCAAACACGTACCTACACCGAATTCAATTTCGGTTTTTGCATTTATCAATATTTATTGTATTGGTTTACATTCAAAACTGATAAGTTGAGTTTAGAAATAAATGAAGTTGTGAAGTTCATTGCTTTTTAATTAGTTATCTTATATGAAACCCATTTTCTAACATAGTGGTCAAGCTATAAATATTTTTAGAAATCCTATACTCCAAAGTACATACTTCCTTTGTTTTGCCTTTGAATTAGTAATTAGTTGAAAGAAAGAACTAACCCAAATTTTACTTGAAAAATACATTAATCTGCACAGGTGAATTATTACCACAGCTAATCAAATATCTAAAATTATACTCCCTTCGATTCTCAAAATAATAATTAGTTGGGCGATTTGTTTTTGTCATATCCTAAATGTTGGATATTGAAAACTCAAGAATAAACTAAATTAAATAAAGCTATCAGATGACTAGGAGGCCTAGAAGTGTTACGAAACTAGAGAAGGTTTTCTAGAGACTAAAACGCAAATTAAAAGTTTCTAAGCTAAAGCATAAATATTTTTAGAGGATTTGGGAAAGTTTCAAGAGCCAAAATAAAAGGTTATAGGAACCTAAAGTAAAGGAAAAGAAGTTTAAGTTAGAAAAAGAAGATAAAAAATGTATAGAAACCAAATTATAATTATTGGAAATTCATAGTACTTAGTGTAAATAAATATTATAAAATTACGTAATAATACCCAAAACTAGAAAGTGATCCAGATAATATTTTTAAGCTGAAAAGGGCTTATGAATTATTTTAAGATTCTCTAGAGATGTGAAAGAGGATTACATGTACAGGCTACAAAAGACACTATAGAAGTTGAAATAAGGAAATATGATGAAAACTCCAAATTGAAAAGTTCGGACAAAATTTTAATTTTAAAAAGCTTAGGCCAAACAGTGTAGTTACGGAAAATCCAAAAAAAAAATCCATAAATTTAAGAAAACTAGTAAAAATATTTTTAAGGTAATGTTGAAACTAAAGAGGGGTATTTAAATCGAAAAGAACTAAACTGAAATTTATGGAAATAAAAATTTATTTATGGCTAATTATGAAAAATTTAGTCACTATATATAATTTAAAATTATGTAAAGAGCCTCAATAATTATAGAAATTTATGAATTTAGAAAATTAATGATAATGATAGAAAGCTTTTTAAAAGGTCCTAAATCAGAAGCAGTTAGAATTCCATAACAATTTTCAAAGTTAAAGCATGGTTTTTGTCCAAAAGACGAAGCAATAGAAAAATAATAGAGTAAAGATGCACTCAACATTTTTATCTTATTTTTCAAAATATACCTAGTAACCTAATCTTTGTGGTGTTGCAATTTTACTCATGATGTTTTTTCTTGTACTCCAAACATTCTAGTTTTATTTACAGTGCATCAATCATTCCAAAGTTTAGGGCACTGGATACAACTAAAAAAAATAAAAATAAAATTGAGCTACTAGATGTACCAGAAAAATAACACGATGGGTAGAATTGTATCATTATAAAGATTTAGCGTGCTCAGTGTTGGATACACTTCAATCCAAAATAATAAACTGAATTGATTGCTATGGTTTAAAGCCAAAACTATATTTCTAATTCGAGATTTGAACTCTCTCAACAAAATCCTCTAGTTAATAAACTAAAAGGAAAAGTTGCCTGTAGAGTACCTTCTCGTGATGCAATTGGAGGGTTTGAACTCTAAAGGTGGCAGATCATTTGAAAACTCCATGGAAGGGAAATGAGATTCCATAACGTATTTAGGAAGCATCGACTCAGTCATGCACCCAACAGCCGTACAAGAGCATGCCTTAATGAACGAACCAATTGTTGAAGCATCGGCAATCTTGTGAGAAAAGGATACACCAATGGCCAAACCTCCACAATCAAACAAATTCACTTGAACTTTCATTAAAAACCCACTTCCTAAATGGGCATCATCGACCGGCACAAAGTGGTGTACAAAGTCAGCATCGGGTTGTTTAAGGGTGTCGGAAAGGAAGCCATGGACACGAGTCTCGCAAAACTCGACACCTTCATCGTTACATTCAATCACTTTGTTGTATTTGACTCTGCCTGCCAGTGGATAGAAATGGGTTAGAGTCTCAGACAATGAAGTCTTTAGCCTCTCACACCCATCGTTAGCAAACTGGTTCTCAATATTGGGATAGAAAAATAGCATACGAGTGTGAAATATAGGAGCAATCTGGTCAATAAAAGACAGTTGGTAAATTATAAGGTTTTGGGGTGTTGGAGAAGATGGCTTTATGATTTGTTTGGACACGAACTCAACCTTCATATTTAGTGGCTTGATGAAACTGGTTTGAATTTTGCTAATAGGACTCGAAATCTCAGGACTCTATGCCTCAGCATGAAAAACTGGCATATTTATGTATTAATACTAGCCAGCTGAGGAATTAAATATTTATTTTGCCACATTGATGATTTGGTCAGTCACCAGGAAACATTCTCCAGGAAAAAGTCAAATGAAAAGTCAGTCATAACATTTTAACACGCAAGGACATTAAAATGAACAATTAATATAAAGAGGAAGAAACTGATTTACAGATGAAAAGTCAAAGATAAAAACATGCGAAAGAATTAATATAATAACCCAAGGACATTCTTAATATCATTCTTAGAGACTTTTGATGCCTTAAAGATAGCCGATGAAGAACACAGTGCCACAGCTAATGCGTGATATGTTCTGCTATTGATCTACACGCAACGCTCAACTGCAATACGGTCAACAAAAGAATACAAATCCAAAATCTTTTTTGCCTTTTTACTTCTAGAGGTTTTACTGAGAAAGTTCAAATCTTGAAGTAGAAAATTTCAACCCCGCCAATTGAAGTTTTCTTAATTTTCAGCATCGTAAAGGATACTGTTCCTAGAGACTCAATATAAATATATATATATATTCCACAATCAACTTGTTTGAAATAAAGGTACGTAAATTTAAAAAAATGTCATTTGAAGACTCTAAGGAAATTAGTTAATGTTAAGGACCTTAATTTTTCAAAAAATTTAAAAAACTATATAATTCTTGGCCGGAATATTTGAGTTGACAAAAATTTCCTCCTTTTTTTCCCAAAAAGAAAAATTCTATTCCGGTTATTTTAGTCGTTTAAGCACTCTTGTTTTTAGTATTCAAATATAATTTTCTTAAAATACTCATATTTTGCTTTTACGTCTATCAATATTTTATTGTTGTAACTTTATTTTGTTTTCAATATTTAATTTTCACTTGTCCGTTACTTATTATTAATTTTTTTATTCTAAAATGATCAAAGATGAATGCTAAAAATAGTATAAAAATGATCAATATTGAAAGATTATATATGAATAATGAAAAAAATTAAATACTAAAAATCTTAAAAAAATTAATTCTTTACTTTTCAACATGGTAATCAATCTTGCTTTTTATAAATCTGGTCTTTTTTTCAGGAAAATGATAATAAAAGACCATGGAATATATAAAATTCCAATATGGGTCCTCTAAATTATGAGGGTGTTTTTGACTTTTCACTCACATTTCATAATTCCCATTAAAGTTTGGGTCTTCTGCAGGGATTATATGATTTAAGGGACAAAAATTAGAATTTTTATATATTTTAGGGCTTTTTATTATCTTATTCCCTCCGAATTAACAATTTTAGGATATAAGAAATTTTACAAAACCCCAACATAACATATAAAAATTGAAATGATGATACGTTAAACACAAAACAACAACATAATTAGAGAAAGAAAAAACTATAAGAAAATTGAGGATGAATTTTGGTTTGAAAAATTAATTGGGTAATGATACATAAAACATTTAGTTTCTTGAGTTTAATTAATTGTAGTAGGAGAAATACCAACTTACCTTAATTGCATCTTACTAATTCAAAGTTGCATAAAACAACTTTGTTTTGTGGATGTTTCCACAAAAAAAAAAAAAAGTTCTCGAATCTAGTTCTAATTTCCTATTGCTGATACCTAGAATCATATAGGATCTTATTGCTTATCATGGATCCTAATTGTATATCATTAATCCAAAGTTGTATATTGTTGATTCCAGTTGCATATTGTAGATACCTAATTGTATATGAGATCTTATTACATATCATATATTCTGACTACATAGCATTGATTTAAAGTTGGATATTAGTGGTTCTAATTGTATGTGTAGATGCCTAGTTGCATGTGAGACCCTATTGTGTATCACATATCTTAATTGCTTATTGCTAATCCAAAGTTACATATAGGTGATTCTAATTGCATATTGCGGATACTTAGTTATATATGAGCTCTTATTGCATATCATAGATCCTAATTGCATATCATTGATCAAAACTTGTATAATGTTGATTCCAATTGCATATACATTACTATTTACATAAACAAGTTCCATTGTACATATCACAAACAAGTTCTTATCTACAAATTAATACTACAAAAAGCAATTTGCACATTATGGGAAGGTATTTGTAACATCCATCCCTTTCAACACCTTTAGTATGCATTCAAAAATGCTATAGTTCAGGGAATCATAGATTAAGCCCATGGATTTCAATTTTGTATTTTAGTTCTTGAGTTAATATTCATTTGGCAATTCTAGATTTTTTTTTTCCAAATTCAAAAATTCATAACTAATTATGAAAAAATTGTATTAGGACAATTCGAGTCTTTATTTAAAGATCTTTTAATTCTCTACAGAAAAAATACTCATTAAATCATTTACTTGCACATTTAATACAAGAAAATACGTGAAGTGATATTGTTTATATAGTTAAACAATACTTTACAGTTTTTTTGTCGTAATTTTGAGCAATCATAACTTTATTTATACATATCCATTTTAATTGATCTGCTACTTGTTTTAAAGCTTAGGATGTGTTTTTATTACCCACATAATATCATGGGCATATTCGTTCATTTATGTTACTTTTACTCTATCTCAAATTTGTGGCTCTATATTGAAATGTTTATCCTCTTACTTAAATATATCAAGTCATAAACATATCTCAACAAGCATACAACTATTCAACATTTCATAAATCATTCTCTTGCATCATTAGACTCATTCTTACATGCCATTGTCATCACTTATCATTACATAACATTAATTGTCATGTCTAATTATTCATCAACATAAAGGGAAGTCATTAACACCACAAAAAAAATAGTATTTTGGAGCGGTTCCAAATAATCGTACTAAATGATACATTTGTAGCAGTTATGCAAAAACCACTACTAATATGCAATGGTTTAACAGCAAGGATAGTGTTAGTAGCAGTTTTTTCAAGACTGCAACAAAATTATGGCATATAAGCTTTGCACCACATGGTGGGAATAGTTGTAGTGAAATTTTGCAGCGATTCAAAAGCTACTAAAAAATAGATGACGCACATTTGCCATGGTTCCAAGTAAATCGTTGCAAATTTCAAAAAAATTTGCAGCAGTTTTGTTAGAACCACTGCAAACATACTGCATTTGCAACAATTTTCTTAAAATCACTGCAAATTTCAAAAACATTTGCAGCGATTTTGTCAGAATTGCTACAAATGAAAAAAGCATTTGCAATAGTTTTGCCAAGAACCGCTGCAAATGTTCCCATTCATAATAGTTTTATAAAAACCACTGCATTGCAAAACATTTTTTTAACAAAATATTACATTTGCAACGGTTTTGCCAAGAACCACTGCAAATGTTTTTTATTTGTAGTGGTTTGTTGAACTGCTACCCAAACTGCTGCTAATGTCACGTACTAATTATAAATACCCCCTACTTCCCATTTGATCTTTCCTCTCTTACTCTTCTTCTTTTGCTCGGTTGGTTTGTTAGAGGGAAAAAAAATAAAAAGTTTATTATTTAATTTTATTTCTTGTTTACATTTATTATGATACTTATGTATTCTTCTAATTTTTTTTTATCTCTCTTGTGGATTCTTACCACATGACAAATATTCATCCTTCTATCTTCTAAAAATTTATTACTCAATTATAGATATATATTTAAAAATTATTTTTCATATATGGAAATAATTTTTTATGAAAACATATTTAATAAATAAATAAATAATAATATGGAATTACACATATAAATAAAAAAATAGATAAATAACAAATAATAATTTGATTACAATTTTTTTAAAAAAATACGTTCGTTTGTAGTGGTTTTGGGAACCATTGCAAATGCTAAACTAGTGTCATTGTAGATGCCAAAATTTCAAATTTTTGGTGAAAATTTTGATATGCATCCATTCCTAAGAAGTGATGCAAATTCGAAAAACAAACACTATAAATTCAAAAAAACTGTTGCAAATTGAGCACTTCACTGTTACCTCTGACTGAAATTTGCAGTGGTTTCTAATATGCGTTTATAGCAGTTTCTGGCAATTTTGCACCGGGTTTAATTACATTTTGGAATGATTTTTTATCATCGCTGCAAAGTACTTTTGCCATGCCCATTTTAGTAACGGTTCTAAAAATCGCTACAAACACATTTGTGCTGGTTAAAATCGTTGCAAATGCACAAAATTAACCAGTGTAAAACACTATTTTTCTTTTGTAATGTAAAAAACATAGCATAAGAAACATTTATTCAATTCTCCCTTTTTATTCTTTTGATCCTTACCTTGCATTCCTCTTTCATGCTCAAAATGCCTATTATGGTTGGTTAAGGGAGAGTGAGATTTAAGAGAATCTCAGTACCAAACATGTACTGCTCAAACATACAAGGTATGGCTTGGCATTATATAACATGCTTGCAAACTTATCACTTTCATAACATATTGACATATTTGAAAACCATTATGCATCAAACACAAAATACATAGGCCTATGACATGCTTTAAACATAATCACATACACAATACAAGATTTCATATGGTCATATAAACATAATAAACATGTCATTCATACAAGGAAACACTAAGTACATAAGAGTAAGCTAAAGTTTGCTACCTTTAATTTTTCACATCCTTCCTCTTGCTTCCAACCATCAAGGTTATTTGATTAACTTTTCCATTCGTCTTCCTTAACTTCTCATGGCCAAGAGCCATAATAGCAAACAATACTTGATCTCTTACATAACCTTTTAACTCTAGCTTTTGGACTTTCAATCCAGTCCTTCTAAAATTGATTCCACATGTTACTCTCACATAATTTTGAATGAAAAATCCATTTTAAGCCTCAAGTTTAACAAAATCCAATCCCTTCCCCTTCATCTAGCTTAAGCCAAAACATTAGGGTTTTAGGACAAAAATTTTATTTTTAATTCTAATGCTTCTAAACTTACACCCCCATATGTACC